ATGATTCTATGCTTTAACTATATATATATAATTAACAGGTTGTTATATTTTACGATTGCTATGTGTGATATTATACAATATTGTCATATTACAATGTACTCAGATTGTTATGTAATTTTCTTTTTTTATCATTGTCTCACTCACAAACAGTTCTGTCTCACTTTCAAATAATTCTGCCTCAAGTTTCAACCCTCTTGTTTTAGAGGAGAATTATTATCTTATCTGACAAATTAACTGTTCATTTCTCATAATCGGGACAATTTTTCACTATTATACCTTTATTACTGTCATAATAAGCCAAATTCTGCTCTTAACTCATTCACCCCTACATATTTAAACTGGACTTGCCCAGTCTTTGATTTGGTAAGGTTCAAATATGACTTTAATAGGGGTGAATGGGTTAGTAAGTTTTCACCATCCTGTTGCACTCACATGTTTCTGTCGACAAATGCACTAACTTTATACTCACAGGGAGACTGCAGGCCACTAATTCTCTCTCTAAGAACATGCACCGCTAGTGCTAAGCCCCGCCTCCCATGTACATCATTCCCTTGGGGGCGGGGGTGCACGGGGCGTAAGTACTAAATCACTACTTCTACCTGTAAACTGCTAGATGCCATCCTCTGTAGTAGCTATTCCCCTTGATCCTTTTACCTGTAAATTATTAGTAACCATAAACTGTGTAGAATTAGCATTTCTATTTTTGAAAATACAGCTGTGTGACCGCACAACGCACCAAAAATAGCGTGCACACATCGTGCATTCATCCTGCTCACACCGTCCGCACAACGTCCACACATGTTGCGCACAACTGTGCGATTTAACAATCGTTTGCCCCGTTCACTTGGTTGATCTATATTACGGAATGAAAAACACATGGAAGACTCGCATGGAATAACGAACACTCAAATAAATTTATAAATTCCTCATCATATTTATTAAGATTATGTTCAATTTTACAATGCATGTAACGGCAGTATCACTGTGACCGTTAGACTGTCTAGAGTTGGTTTGGCTCCCAGGTAACAGAATGGGTAAATAAGATTTTGATGAGTGGCCTGAGTTAACTGGCGCCCTGTGCCTGACACTGACATAGAGAGCCGATATATGATACCATATGACTGTTATGAAAACACGACTGGAGGTTAATTAAGTATTAGTTATTTGAATTCGTTTTAGTCTATATATAGCTCCCCTTCACCTGGATTTTCACACCTTGACCAGTTCCGTAAGTGCCCCGGGTGGGGGAATTTAAACTACGGTCCAGGTACAAAGTGGCTACTTTTACCTGTATTCCGTCTTTGCATATTGCAGAGTTATCTTCTCTTGGGAGCAGGAATTGATTGTTACGTCACTTGTTTGTGAGAGGAACGTCATCAATTTTTGAGAAAACGACGTAATTTTCTCGCACAAACCAATGACGTAACAATCAATACCTGCTCCCAAGAGAAGATAACTCTGCAATACGCAAAGACGGAATATGGGACCGTGTGTCTATTTGTGTTATAATTTTACATGTGATGATTTGGATCGTTTAAAAAAACACCAAAACACCATTTCTAAATTTAAAAAAGTATTAATAGAAAGATCAACTTATATATGTAGCTAGAATATAGAAACATATATACTCAAAAATTCAAGTTTCAATGTTTAAACTCGAAACTGTATTGTGTATTGTTCAGCCATTTCTCAATTTACATCAACCACGATTGACATCACACAACGTTCGTCCATCGTTCACACAAATCGCAACAATCATCCAGAGTTTTATTGTTCCCACATTGTGCACACACTGCGTTCTGCGATCCCACAACTGTGCTACCCTAGTACAAATGTAAAACTGCTAGTAATCTTAAACTCTAGTTAGTATTTCGTTCTTTCCACAAAACATCTACAATTCTACAATAGCATGCTGTCTTTTTCCCCCAAAATACATCTAAATCATCTTCATGAACAGCTGACTATTCTTTTGTAATTTTTATAATTTATAGCATATTGTACAATGGGTATGTAATACATACCATTTTAATTATAGTATACAGTGTACACACATTAGATTTGTATGTACCGGTAATTAAATCGGTTACGATGACCAGAGTTATTGGTAACAGTTAAGTTTTCATTGCATGAAGCTGTTTTGTGAAAAATTTATAACCAATAACCAATTCTCATTTCATTGGTTCATCTTCATTGATGTTGTTCTTTCATATGTGTCAAACACAAATTATATTTGAATATGTCTCTACTTTATTTTCTCTATATAAAGGTGATTTGTCAAATTAACTATGTCCCTAATCATTTGCACCGACTTCACTGTCCAGGGAGTTAGTCCTTTATCGGGTGTGTGTTAGTCCTAAAAACTAAAATACCCCTGCATATTAATTAAGCTATCTTGGCAGTTTATGTCACTTCCTCACAGAAATGGCCCACTAGCCAATCAGGAGTGAGGCGGGCAGAGCTTGTATACTGACTTGACCCATCCGTGTTGCAATCGATCATTAGAGTCAAGCACAGACTCTTAAAGTGAAACCAATGGAGGCTAGTTTATTAGTTGAAGGTTGTTGCTAATTTATTCCATTTTTAGATGTCTTGCTTTTCATTTCGCTTTTAGCATTTTAATCCTTTTTATTTTTATTCATTGTCATTATTTTTTTATTATTTTTTATTATTATTACATTTTAATTAATGTGGTTCACAAATTGTTCATTCCGTTGGTATTTAATGATATTTTTCAAGTATTACACTTTTGCTTCGTCGGTCCGCACAATCCTTATTATCACTACAGCGGACATGTAAAATTATAAACTTTATTATCCCCTCACAATGAAAGGTCGAGGGGATATATAGGATTCTGCCTGAACGTACGTGTTACACTCTTTGTCATAGATCTAGCTACTTCATTCCTCAACGGAATTTCATTAAACTTCATACCAGTGTTTGGTATGGCAATGCCTTGAACAAGTCTTTGATTTAAATGGTAAGGTTAAAATGTGACGTTAGGGGGTGAATGGGTTAATTTAGTATCATTGACTTTAAACATGTTGACTGCAAGTAAGGTAAAGAGTACTACCAAGTTAAATATATATCAGAACCATTAACGACACTATCATAAGATATTTGTTGAAGTCCTTTTCTACTAATTTATTTGACATACATCACATCTTGCAATGCATTTCACAGAATTAAGACTAATGTTCAATTTGAATATTTGAACATTTTGAAAACAAAAATAAAAACAAAACAAAAAGAAATCTAGAAATTCCAACTTTTAAACTCTGGACCCAATGAGTCACTGCCAAACCTTGCTCCTTTCCAGAATTTTATCATTCAGGAATTGCAATGGTATAGTATCAAAATGAAAGCTGATCATTTTGCCAAGGGAATTTAACTTAATCTTAGCCAGAAAAAAAACATTTTTCAATTTTCTTTCTTCTGTATAAAAGGAGGATCGAATACCTTGTATATGTTGTTGAAAAAACAGCTCAAAAGTGGAAATCTGTATATTACGTATAAGTGTAGAAATAGTATGATATTTACCATCTTGTCATTTCAATATTACCATTTACATGTTTATACATATAGATCTACCATCAATGCCCATTCCATTTATACACAATTGTTTTGTTTAAGAATCATAGAATCAATGAGTTTAGTTCAACCAAACTTCATGTGAGCTAGTGCTTGTATAGAACAAAATAATCTAAACATTCAGGAAGTATTTATTTTTTTCAGGAATAATTTGCAAATTGCTTAAGATGACATTGACAGACTTGTATTTCTGCTTTTGTTGTTACATTGTATATATAAACAGATTTTTTTTCTTTTTCTTTTGTATGGTAAATTTTAGAAAGACACCGATAATTAATTAATTCTTATCATCAAGTTTGTTCAATTAAATCAACAGTCGTTGTTTATAATTAATAATTCTGTTTTTAAAATTCTGAATACCAGTAACAGCTTACTTAAGGATTCCGGTCACACTGCTCTGCCGGTTTTCTAATGTAGAGTAATCTCCCCTTCTGTTTGGATATAAGTGTAGCACATTTGGGCTCGTACACTTCCATGGTCCAGGTAGCTCAATCGGTTTATCAAAGCTATGAAAATAAGTTTCAAATGCACAGTTTCTTTTTTGGCAGTGGTACAAGGATTGTCAAGAGGATCATATATAGAGGATATTTAATATGGTGTAATATATTTTGAATGGGATACTCAATACAATTCCGACGTTTTCTTCTATTTTCTGGCATGATTGCTTATAAAAGTGTTATTAATTGTATATTCATGTAAATACTTATGTGTGTGTACCAAACATTTACCATAGCAATTTAACCACTTAATCTACCGTCGCTTCATTTGAATCTGAACAAAAAATCGTTGCCTTTGAAGGCAGCGAATAGAAGAATATACTGTTATGATTGGTCAAAACCAAAAAGTGATATTTTCACAGTTTTATCAAGTTGATAGAATCTGATATTTCACTGGCAAAAATGTAATAAATATTTATACTTATATATGCTGTATTTGGCCTTTTAAACATTTCCTGACATGAACCATCATTTGTGCAATTCTGTTGATGTAATGGATAGAGTGAAGATTGCATGACGTTTATTTTGTCTTTGTGTCATTTTTACCGGTATTAATAGCACGGCACTGTGTACTGGGGTGAATCAGATTGATTGAATGTCAACTATGTAACATTTATACAATTATCTTTTTTACAGTTTTTCCAAAAATGAAACATGACTCATTGATTTTCTGTTGAATTCTATATGTATGGTATAATTCTAGCAATTTATCAGTAATTTTTTGCATATTACCAAACTTTTTTCTTTCTTTAATATTTATTATTTGTTGAATTATACTTTTTGTGAATTTTCATGATTTTTTCAGATTTTATTTATTTTCCGAGCTGCTTTTATGGAATGCTATAGATTGGATACCCTGTTAGCCTTGCCTTGTCCAAAAGATTTCTCACTTGTTATTTGTGATTCTATTTCCAGGCTGAGAATCTCCATAAAGAGCTGTCTAAATCCCGGAAAAAGTTGGAGTACAGGTTCCGAGCATTCACTGGTGACTTAACATCGGGTTACACTGCCAAACGAAACAACGCGGTCCCTCAGTTACCGAACTATTGACGTAGGCCTCTGTTGGTTACTATGGATTCTGTCCAGTTTCTAAACTATTGAAGAAAAATCGACTGGAATTTAATCCTTGGATATCAATGACATTGGTCAAGGTCTCCAGGTCACCTTGGAATGGGGAGTGAACAACAATGACGTATTAAAATTGGCTGTTTCTTTTGTTTAGTCGTCTACCGGTATATACATGAACAAAACGGGGGCACAGATAGACTTTAATGTTAATCCGCTCCATTTAGTAATTTTATAAAAATATATTAAAAGAATGGCTTCTGATTTCTCAACTTTGGCAATTTCAATGTAATCTGAATTCTAGGAGACTTGATTATGAATGTTTGAAGTCTCAGATCTGTATCAAAGCATAATTTGCTTTTTGTAAAAATGTGCACGTAATTTAGTGTTTTGTGTAATTAATTTATGAAATAAAAAAGTATTAGTTATTTTTATACCTGGTATTTGCTGTCTTTTTGCTTAGTTTATGTGATGCCTGCTGTATTAATGTATATTGAGTATTAAGACTGTTAGGCAACTTTGTTTAAAGATAAATTTTTGTACTTTGTAACAAAACTAAATGTATTTACTTTCAATGTATGAAATATTCATAGATGAATATGAAAATCATTATTTCATATAAAAATTGTTGAAACACATTTAAAATGTTTATGTTGACATGAACAAGCCTAACTTGTCAAACATATCAACATGATACATTCCTGGTAGAGAAATTGATTGTGATGTGATCAAAATAAAATGTTTATGTTGAACCTATATTTCAGTATTGTAAACAACAGCCAAAAACAAAGATATCTTCAATTTTTTTATGATCAAATTACATACAGATTTGTTTACATCACGTACATGTATTTTGTATAACTTTTAAAATGTTTTAAATAAAACATAACATTTCTTTTAAATTTTCATCAGGTAAATGTTGTAATGTATCAATACCCGATAACCATCAAACTTTCAAAAATTTATATTTATTCATCCTTAAGCACTGATAATCATAAAAAGCTTGATATTCATAATTAGGTTGATATTTTGAAAATTCAATTTATTACTCATTAAAAGGTGTAATTTTAAGAATGCTTTATTGAAATCAAAAATCTTTGGGAGATTGAAAAAAATGCTTCAGAAGATCGAGATAAAAAGTTCATTTGATATTCTTGCCAGCAGTATTTAAATACAATCATTAAATGTTAAATTTACCAAATATGTTAAGTACAGTACTTTACTGACATAATTATGAGTATTTTATTTATTTCTTTTATTTAATGTGTCATAATTTTTAATCACTGCCAATTTAATTTTGATAATTTTTGAAGGAACGGTATCAGTACATAAATATAGATAGAGACTATGAGTAGTGATTTCATTTTGTGCTTTTCCTGGAGAGTTGAAACCTCCAACGAAACACTAATCCAACATTTCCATTTATTAATATGTATAAAAAGTTATAGGAAAACCACAATGACTTATTAATATTAATTTTATTTATGTTTTTTTTTAGGCCGATAAAATATATGTATTCATGCTAAAACATTATCAACTTAATCAATTTGAATTACCAAGACCATGACATGAATATGAAATGAAAATCTAAAGCTCTAAGGGTAACTGTATATATCACATTCAACCAGTTCAAATCACATCCCATATTCAACCAAGTAAATAAACTTCAGCTTGATGTAAATATTATTGTTATTTCACATTCCATACATCAAAGAAGCACTGACAGATGTTTCATTTTCCCCAATTTTTGGTTTAAGCTATCAGTTATATTATTTTCAAAATCATCAAATGATCATTAATCATACAATGAGTATGAAATATTTGTTGTCTTTGTGTCCATATTTTTCTTCGAATTAGAAAAAAAATAGAAATGTATCCAATGTTTTTTTGTAACATTTTGCTATATGCTCCATTCATGAAATCAACTTGTGAAGTATTAGATCCTAGAAATTTAAAAGAAAAACGTATTCAAATCAACAATAAATTGTATATATATTTTCTGCGGTTATTTTTGTGTATAAATCCATTCCGTTGAGAATGTATGAAAGTTGATGAAAGTATTTATTCTGAGAAAGTGAGAGAAAAAGTCTAAATCGGTGTGCTGATGATATTAAAAATCTGGTGAATGTTTGTTATGCGTACGGTGAAAGTCTGATAGTCTGAACTCTAAATATCTAAATGTGAGCTATTACCCAGTACTATATGTTTTGTCCTAATAAGTAATAACAGTTGTTTACCTCTAATAAGCCCAGGGGATGTTAACTTTAAGAAGGGAGTAGAATATGTACCAGGCTTAATGCCTATTTGCACCAAGCTTAAAGGGTTTAATTAAAACCCATCAATAACTGAAAAAAAGGTTGAAATTTTCGCATTTGGAAATATTCATGTTGCGACTCTTTTAACAGTCCACGGTGTGGAAATGTTTGTGTTGGAAATAATTTTGAAATCTGTAAATAATCAGTTTATAAATGTACTGGTATGTGGATATTTTTCACACTAATTTACCTAATGTTAACCCTTTCACCACTGTAGACCATAATGGACTCATCCAGATCAATGCATGGTAGAGTCTACTAAAGTTACAAAGGGGTGAAAGGGTTAAAAAACGCAAACAAGTTCCACTTTTGCTGTAGGTTGAGTATATAAATACCGAGCCTGAATGCTATCAACTGTAGAATGAATAGCATTACCAGAACAGGAACTTGTGTCATATTACTAAACAAGACATTTTTTTATGAACCATTTAATAAGCATATTTAAAAGTAATAACACAGCTTACACCCCGAGATAAATGATTGAATTATTTTTTTGTTTCACTGTACTCAGTAATATTACACACCCTGGATGATCGACACCATCACAAGCACACTACCTATTATTTGCATGTCACTAATTAAGTTTCTTGCAAACATACTTGTATGATGTCATAGTAACAGTTTGGTAGCACATTAACATTATTTTGTAATTATTTTACGAATGTCACTTGGAGAACTTTTTACCAAGTCTCTGCTTTTGTGAAGAGACTTCTGAATTTTCACACATTTTTCTTCTTTTGAAATCAGTAAAATTCACTGTCGTGTTCCTTTTTGCTTGAATTCAAGAACAGCTAGTCAAACATGGTTGACTTTTAGTACTTTTAGACGTTTTTTTTGAAATTTTCCATATGGATCAGTGCTCTATGAAAATTTTTAATGTTTGACAAGTATGATTTATAAAACACATTGATTTTATAATTTTTGGAATAAAAATTTCACTTGTTCATCGAAAAACACACTGAAGATAGTACTGCTACTTTTGTATCATAGTGGGTTTTTTCTAGCTCCTAGCTCATACTTTTGAAAATGTGTCCACTTGGCCTATTTCCTTTGGTGTTGGGCCAAGAAAGACTCAGACGGCAGCTGAAACCAACACCCAGTAAACAGCATAACAAGTGTAAAAAGGTGAATTCCACCTAACGATATACGTGATGCTATGCTGAAATCCTGCGAGTTAGTATTATGTAGAATGAATGTCAAATTGACAGATATGTCTGACCATAGTATACTTTACTGACATTGGATCGTTAGAGAGAAATAAAAAAACAGTTATAGAGAAGGTTTTTGTTTTGCTTTGTTTATTGTTCTTTAAACCGATGAAGAATTTCAATGAAACTGAAGGAAATTTTAGTATCTTTAAGACATGAAATTGGAGTACTACAACCAAAACTGGCTCAATACATTAATACAAAACACTTAAAACATAGGTGGGTGTGGCATAGTTTTATTAACTTTCTGAATATATTCAGGATCTTTTCATCAAGAAATAACTGAAACATACAACCATTTGTTAACTAGTTACGGTACATTTACAAAGTATACATGTACCTAAAAAAGGGAGGTAACTCCAGTAAAAATAACCAAATCACTATTTAAGTGACCGGCCCCTGAGCATCTGGTTTACATATTGAATGACTAATTAAATCAGTAATATTCAGACAAGGTTTTCACAAAGGGCCATTTTGAGATAAACAATACAATTATTTTAAAATCTCTTCTGGGGTTCTAAGGTTTCACACAAAATTCTTCTAATGCCGGAAGTTTAACAATTACCTATCCGATCACCAGTTTTTAACACTAAAAAGACTTTCTTAACATACTTGGTATGATCATTTGACTTACAATAGGCCTTCTTACAATCTGTGAGCTATAAATAGTTTATTCACAGCATCAACATAAAGACAAGATGATACATAAATTTGATACAGACAATAACATGAATTCATGAGACAACAAAACAAAATGAAATGCATCATGAACTCTTACAAAACACAGAGTGAAACCAGCTGTTTCAGCACATTTGGTAGCGAACAAGACCAAATTCTGGATTGAGCTGAATTCCAATCACTTTCATTAAAACTCGAGTAAGTATGACGACCATAACATTTCAACAAAGACTGCACAGGTGAGCTAATAATCAGCACCAAACTACATTTTGTATCAAAGCTTATAAATATAATATATATATATTAAATGTTGCAAGTGTACATTAAATTCAAATAAGCCTTCAAAAATAGATTGCACAAATTTTAAAATATCGGTACAACTGACAGATCTTGGAGAAAACTACTTTAATATAATATCAATTATTAACAAGTAAAAATATATTAAAAATGTAAAATTGCAATTGTTAAGTAAGAAAAATTACTTGCACTAATATATAATTTGTTCTACCTTCTAAATTTTATTGTTCATCATATAACAGCTACACTGTTGTGTTCTTGTGTATCATAATTCCAGAAAAGGCATCAATAAGTTGTGATAGCTTGCAGCTAATTCTTCTGTGATATTATGCAATAAAATCTGATTACATTACAACTTGGGTCAAGTGGGGAGGATCTATGAGATTTCAGTAACGTTATAATTCCAATGCTGCACTTGGTTTAGGTGGAAGGTTACTAACCACAGAAGTGTGCAGTTTTGCAGTGGTGATGTGTTACACAACTAGGTTTTTTAAAAAAAAACTGCCACAAAAACAACCCTGTTTATGTACAATTATACCACTGTTATAATAAGTACAGTAACAGATTCCCCATGGAAACAGTTTCAGATTTTTGTTTAATGTTTGTAAAAATACTTGTGTGGATTAAAAAATACCTATTTTTTAACAAAACATCAATTTGAAAGAGATTTTGTTTATAAAAAAAAAGTCTGGTATGGAAAACAGACATATCACACCAAAAAAAAGACATATCATGAATATATTTCCATCTTGAAATTTTATTTTAGTATTGTGTGTATTCTGAATAGCTTTTCTCTTGTCAATCAGACAGTATTAAAGGACAAAACACGAAAGTCATTGGTGGTTTACAAATTTAAATCAGCGCAGCATTATGTTGACGGTAAAAATTATACTTATATAATTTTCGTGTTAAGTGTAGAAAAAGGTATGGAGTAAAACCACTTACAAGTATAAATCTCTGTACGCTATTGAAAGCATATATATACTTTGCTGTATCTTTCATACTTTTGAGTCCACATATGGGATAAAGATATCTATTTTATTAATTTGAATAGAAATTTGACTGAATTCTTCCAGCAATGTAAATGATAGTAAAAACTGGAATGTTCAGAGAACTGCCCAAACTTTTTAAGAAAAAGACTGACAAGAAAAACAACACTCAAGAACGGTAGTTCAAATTTGCAAGCAAATTTAAAAAAAATCTCAAATTGTAAACGTTAAACTTCAAACACTGCAATATCATAGCACAATTTTTAGGTTGTTGAACTTGTCATATTTTCATGACTGTGTGCAGTATATAAAATGTCTTCCATTGTTTATGATGAGTTAGCTGCTTCGTTTTATAGTTCCAGTCACCAGCTATTTTCCTATCATATGCAGGCTTTTGCTTTGGCATTGGGTAAAACCAGAAAGCCGAAGGTCTGTCCAGGCCAGGGAACGGGAGCATGGACGACGGTAGGGGTCATAAGGTCGGGCAAAGCGTCTCCTTCCATATGTAATAACTTCCCGTTCAAATAAACATCTCTGAAAAAAGAAAAAAAAAACACCGTTTTTTCATTTGTATTTTAATTCTTAAGTCTTTCAAAATATATATATTTTTTTTATCAATTTAAAAACGATTTTACCTCTCTGTTACAACTCATAAATGTATTTTAAAGTGTTTTCATAATTTGCTACTTCAGTACAGACTATAGATACAATGGATTTGGTACATTGTTTTACATTGAAATCTGCAAAATACATAACCGGTTAAAAAACGAAGGCATGGTGTTCTTTCAGCAACAGAACAATGTTTTGTTTTAAGTTAAGCCATCTAGATATCTTGATATTTTGTTATGTTTACATCATATTCCATAATCATGTGTTATAATATTGCTTATGTCAGAGACAAAAATTGACATACATTTTTTTTGAGATGGAGACAAAATTAGGGAGGGGGCTTAATGCCAGGCACCCACCCTGTTCCCAGGACATTTATCAAAGTGGGGAGGGGGCTTATTTGCGAGAGGGGGCTTATTGCCGGTAAAATATGGTAAAGTAATTTATAGGTATAAATACAGATCCATACATTATTTCTCTGAAAAAGGTTTAAAAACATTACAGATAGAAACAAATTTAATTTTAATTTTTACAACACAATTTCATATATTACCAACTTTTTTAAAAAAAAATCTTTTTTTTTTAAATCGAATAAAAAATCTGAATTTGCAACAGAGTTCTGACAGAATTAATGATAAATATAAATAATTTTGATCTACAATTTGTTGAAAAAAAAAAATTGTCGGGAAATTTTTTATTTGTTAGGCAAGGAAAGTCAATGCAAAATAATACAATGTATTTCGTTTTTAACCACATGAAAAAATAACTGAATTATTTGTAATATTTGATTACAAGTTTGCTAAAGATATCTCCAAATAAAGTACCAATGTAACTTACTGAGACCGCAGATCCCCATCGGAGTGAAGAAGAAACATATGAAGGTCCTGATTTTCAAACAGACTAGATGTGATATTAACTGATGCAGTCCACAGATTTAACACATACACTGTTACGCTTCCAGCGGGATATTTGTCTCTGGAACATAAGGGGAAAATCAGGTAAATCACCATTATTATTTTATTACACAAAAACATTTAATAAAATTTCAGGAATCAAAAAGTAATATACGGTACATTTAAAATGGCAGGCTCAAAATTTGATTTTTTTTGTAATTGTTTATTTTTCGACGATTTTTTCATAATACATATAATCATGAAAAGAAACACACACACACACACACACACACACACACACACACAATCACACACAAACTTACAGAGCATATATGCATTTGAATTGATGACTTAAATAGTTATCATCTGATCTTAAGCCTAACATGAGAATGTGAATTTAATACTAGGCAAAATTTGTTTAAAAATGTTAGAGGGCAAAAACATTGCAGTTTGTAGAATAATAATGAACTTGCAGCTCAAAAAGGTGATTTTCAAAGACACTGCTCAGAAAATTAAGCAGATTGACCAAACTGGTTTTGCTGCGGGTCTGTTAGGAACATGTCTATCCAAGAATGATAATGACAGATTCCAGTGACACATACGTGGAACAGTGAGCATAGACTCGCAAGTGTCCAGTCTTGTCCGAACTGTCTGTCAGCAACACTTTGGACCCGACAAGCTTCTTGTAGAGAACTGACAGCCAGTAATCCTTAAACCAAGAGGAATGGTACAGGTTAAGATTTAGTCAAGTTTGTGTACAAAAATGATCAATCAATCTTATAAAACAGGCAAGAAAATCTTAACCGGTTCATGTACTGTACCTTTCTCTCTCATAATTCTAACAAGGAAATTTTATTCAAAACTCAGGGAAATGTTTGATTTCTATCATGTTCAGTTTGTCTGATAGTGTATAGCAGGAAATTTCGGCAGGGATGAAATGTTCACAATTTCGCGTGTCAATACGAGATCCCAAAAATACGAAAAAACAAGATGCGATTGAATACTTCATAACTGCAATGTCACAGGGGTTTATCAGGGTACTTTGTAGGTCTGTTTAATGGACCCATTCCTTTAAAATTCTCAATTTGGAAATCTAAACAAATAAATGCAGTTCTCAAAAGGCAGCACATGTAGGAAGGACAGAATGAGCATGTGGTCATAAAGACAGGCTTAAAAACAAGTTAAACATTCAATTTTCCCAGAACGGCTATTTTGTCGATGATTTTTTCCCAATTTCATTGCAGGGTCCATTTCCCAAAAAAAACTGATAAACCCCCTGTGTCATCATGAAAAATTGTGTACCTCATTGTGACGGTTCATGTAAATAAAGAGTAGTGATGCTTAAAAATATTTTACATCACACATCTAATAGTGTTGTTGATGATTTGTTTAACAATATGTACACACTTCCTCGTTGTTGCTCAATATGTTCAATTGGACACTTTATATGCTGAATGTCTTATCGCTGTGTTAAAACACCAAAATAGATCCCTCACATGTCTAGATCCCAAAATTATAACCTTGTAAATTCTAATTTTGGGTCAAAATTCAGAAAATGTACGCCCGCGTAAATAACCCATACAGTAGCTTTGTGAAACAATTCTGGCAGCATATATATATGAAATTCAAAAAATAAGACTGAAACAGATGAAGTTGGGTCGCTTTAACAAGACAGCACAGAGGAATCAGAAGTCATCTCTGCTCATATCATCAAACAGTGACATCATAACATCCCCCGATCTTAAGAGTCATTTAATTTAGTAATAAGATTTAAAGAGAAATATACAAGAAGGTTGTACCAGGAGGTACATAACTTACAGGGTTTGGTTCCAGAGTTTGCCAATCTATCAGTCCATACCTAGCACCATAGAATGCCTGACGTATGACCACCTCAATTCCCTGACTGGCCGCCACGCCAAGCTTGTCCAACCACCTACAAACAGCACCGAGTAATATCACCCATCATCAAATGTTCCTCATATATCATATACTATACATTTACCTGTACACTAGTCACCAACATGTTTCTCTTATCCTGGACAGGTGTATCCACACTTTTACCGGTGTGAGACCTCCTTGTCTCACCCTAGGGTTGAGACCCCCGGGGGGGATTCCCCTATTCATAACAATGGTATGACGTTACTTCAACAATCCAATTACGTCACGTCAACAATCCATCAACGACACGTCAACCCTGAATTTAGCGTGTAATGTTATCATTACATTGTGTATATGATACACAATGGGAGAACAGGGTAAGAGAAAAAGAATCATTCACCCCCTTGTGGGTAAGATAGAGGAATCTAATCCCTCGGGGAAAGATTCTTAAGTTGCCAAACACTCTGCACAGCCTCGTGTTTGGCAACTTAAGAATCTTCCCCCTCGGGTTGAGATTCCTCTATCTCACCCCAAAGAGGGTGAGAGATTCTATTAATCAATCTTTATTTGTTGAAAATAGAAAATTACAGCATTTAAAGTACAAAATGTGACAGATTGTGAATTTTCCTGTTACATTATTTATTATGCTTTATAATATATAAGCACATGTATATGGGTACCAACGGTAGTATAATATTGAAAGTTAGACTGATAGAATTCCCATTCACCAGGTACATCAGTCTAGATATAGGTATCAGATTATCACTATCTTTTGTCTATGGTGCCTTGTTATATTGTTATATGAATTATGGTATACAGGTAACACAGAATTCCTACAGGTAGTTTGCCTGACAGTAAAAACCCACTAGAATACTAGTACACTTTTTTTCTGTCAATATCACATTTTCTTGAAGCACCGTTTTTTCCTGCAATATAATTTATATAATTCAATGTCTGTTATTTCAGATTTCTTCTTTTTTTTTTTATCCTGACATGTTTATAATATATTTTCACTTCAAAATAAACACTTTCTAACTGTTGTACAAATGTACTATTAAATTTTATTATTAACTACAACTCCTGAATTTAGCTGTTTCAAGCCCCAGGATTTAACAAGTACAAGTTAGTTTATATTATCTCCACCTCCATCACCAACAGGGTACCTACTCACATAAAGCCAGCAACATATCTGTCTGAAAGACCAGTGGCCCCTCCTCCCCAAGCAGAGCTGGTTTCTCCCAGCCACACCCTCTTCCCAGGAGCATACTGGGCCACAATCTTGTTACCGGTGATGATCTCTGGAGCTAGGCCATCAAGAACATATGGACTGAGGAAATCCTCAATAGTCGCTACTTTTCCGTCAACATAGTAACTGTTAATTAAATGCATAAAACAAGTTGTGAAACTTTCTGCAGTATACTGTATTGTACTAAGTTAACATGGGCGAATTCATTTTCAAGCAATTTTCTTTTTGAAAGAAACTAAAATACAGTAATCTTTCTTCCTATTTTTTTAATATTTTTTTTTACACTTTAATTTCACAACTGCATTTTATATTTGATATTTGCAAGGATATTTTGAAATTAAAATTATTCTTGTGCATAAATTACATAGCTTTATACACTTTGCACGCGCTAACATCCGAGCCAACGAGAGTGACTAATATAAGTTGAAATAACTTGTTTCATAATTGTTGTAAAATGAATAAAGTTTATATTTATGTATGTATGATAAAAGTCTTTTTAAGGATTACCCGATACATCATACACTAAATGAATTTATTATTAATCAATTTAACTAATCAACCAATTAATCTAATTAATCAATTAATCAAATAATCTAATTCATCAATTCATCTAATTAATCAATTAATCTGATTAATCAATTCAGCTAATTAATCAATTAATCTAACTGACATTGTACTCACTGATGGAATGTTGGAGATGTTACGGTATTTTTTCCGCCATTTTGAAGAAAGCTGAAACAGATTATCAGAATTGTGACTCAAATGGCTCATTTGATAGGGTATATTTGAAATAGTAAAATGAGCAACAAAAGAATATAGCAAGTGTTGTTTAGATAAATCTGAATAGATATTAATTAGATATATTTACCAGGTAAGTTAACGATCATATCATTTAGCCAATTGCTGCAAAAGAGATTCCGGGAGAAAAAAAACATAGCAACAGACGTACGATCAGTGACCATTTAACCCTTTCACCCCTATGTAACTTAAGTATACTCTTTGTTGCATTGATCTGGAGGAGTCCATTATGTTCCTCAGTGGTGAAAGGGTTAAGATTTACAACTTACTCAGAGAAATAAATCTGTGACCGGACATGTAGCAACTGAGTTACACTTGGTCCCATGATCTGAAAGTTTTCGTAGTCGGGCAGCGAACTTAGTAAATTTTTCATCGTGGAATAGTCCTTGGCCAGTTGAGCAGCCGGTATGTCAAACCCGTAACCATGGAAATCATCTGGCTCTGAAACATAATATATACTAGTCTGTAATTACTGCATGAAGCTCTTCTAGCAAATACTGATGATTAACAATTTAATTGTGATGTTGTGTAATGTATCTTGTTGAAATGTTGGAAGAAAGTTACATCAAGCAATTATCGCAACGCAATACCAGAACTTTTTTTTTTAATTTCAACCATGTGACATTGACTTTTGACTATAATCAGCTTAGGTAAACACGCTGTCTTTCCAAACATTTGTTATAATAAATCTGATGATATTCTATTCACTATGTTGAAATTAACTCATTCAAAACGTTGTCACTTGTTTATTTACTTCATTTATCAACATTTACAAGGGTAGAACACATTATCTCACTCATTGCTTATGTAGTAGGATGAGGAATAGTGATAAAGATAGTGACGTCGCTGGGGCTCGAACCTGTGACCCTTGGCTCTCAAGTCGGATGCTCTAATGCTGAGCTAAAGGGAAATTCCCTAAAGCTGATGCTTGTAAGGCAACCTAATCAATACACATCTTTAACACTTACATAACTTTCAGAGCAATTACCTTGGTACAATATTTTTAAATGGTGCTTGCCATTTTTTGCCATTTACATATAAATCTTTGAGAAAAAATAATATTTTGTTAAGCCTGTTATTATGACAACATGATAATACATCCGGTCATTCATTTACGACTATTGGCGGATTGCTTGTTATTTTCTTCACAATGACCAATAAGCTCACATTGTTATAACGTGGTCAACTCAACTTTTGAACTGATGATATCACAACAAACAGAAATGGCTTTTTCTAAACTCCTGCTTTCAAAATTTTTGGCCCTGTATCTACAATTTTCAACATACCATATTTGTCACACAATTAGCACCCAATTTTACTTATAGGGGGAGTATTTTTTAGGATAATAAAAAGAGTTATTATAGAAAAAAGTTGTGCAACTTGAACTGTTGTTATCACTGAAGGACATTATAAACATCCCAGTGTGGCTGGAGGTTTGTATATCAAATGTTTCATCGGCATCATGGGAAGTCCAGTCATGATCGCCAGACCTTGAATCTCTGCTTTAAAGTATAATGGTTTGGTTTCTGTGTGTTTTACGTCCTATTAACAGCTATGGTCATTTAAGGACGTGCCAGGTTTTGGTGGTGGAGGAAATCCGGAATTCTGTGTTTTGCTGCCACCCTTTTCCCAAAGAAATGTTGGCATTATACATTATAAAGGGGTTTGGCGATAAATTGAGGTAAATGCAGAAAGGAATTCTCAAGCAAGTACGAAAAAAGTGACCAATATGTTGGCAGTAAACGAGGTGGCAGATGAAACTAGCGGCATCATATCAAAGTTTTAATGTATTATAAATTATCGACCTGGCCAAGGAGGGGGGTCATCACTATATAATTTCAATCCCTTCTAGAAATGTAGGCTTTAAATTGTAATAATAATTTGAGGTTCTTATATACCGCTTTATCACAGCCTAGTTTGTGTGTCATCTCAAAGCGGTTCACAACTTATTATCCTTGGTTATAGAAGGAGGGGTGCTGATAAGCCAAATATGGTACATGCAATTTTTAAAAGAAAATGTTATGTGCACAGTAATATTTATGACACCTTTCCAATTATTAAAAAGAATAAGAAGAATATTTTCAATACCTTGAAGAAAGTAAGGGCTCAAAATAAGAAATGGTCTTTGAAATTAAAGTGGAAAATATTAATGCTAGGCAATAAATAATCACTGAACACAACAAGACGCTGCATACCATTTCCGAGCTCCCATCCTGCTAGACGATATCCCTTCGACGCTGTATATTTCAGGAGAAGCTTAGCATTGTCAGAATCCCATTGGCCGTCCTTACGAAGGAAGACATTGAGGTCAAACAGGAAGTCCCATCCCACCTTGGTCATGAAATGGTTGATATCATCCCACATACTAGCTGCAAAAAATGTGGAAAAAAAATCCTATTTCACATATAATTTCATACATATATAGGGGATTAAACAGCGTTTTTAAATTTTCATGCCGGTATGAATGCATATCGGTAAGATTTATATTGCATGAGGCCTTCACGTTTAATATGGATGCAACAGATTTGCGTTCACATGTACACCGGCATGAACATTAAAAAAACACTTCAATCCATATACATTTTCAGTATAGAACAATTGTTTAATTTTGTTTATTTTTTTCTTACATAATTAATTAATTTACTACGTTTTGTATGTGCAATGTCCTTTAAACGACATTAGCAGAACCGATCCTATTTAAATATAAAATTGGGGCCAATAATTAACCGTAGTCATTTAAGCGTTTGACGCAGGGACATGTTATCCGAAGCGAAGCAAGGTTAAATCTATGACGTCATAAGTAAACCACGTGTTATGTAACGAGAGTTTTTGCTTTCAAACTCAAATGAAATACATTTCTGCTAATAATGTTCACATAGTGGGTTGCAGCGCAAATGTAAATATAATTAGCTTCAAAATCTCATGTATTGACACCGATGTTATTTGTCTGTGAAAAAGTGTATTTCAATTTTCATCATGGCTCATATAAATATATTATTTGGCAGCAACACTTGGTAAAATCACATGTATGTTGCAACAAAGTAAAGTTCAATGTCTATAATAGTGGTAGCCTCAGCTCAATTGCTATCACGGACGTTATGGCCACAATCTTAAAATACTCACAAGGGTTTTAATTTCATCAAATTTAAGGCATTCAGGAAATTAATACCCTTGTAAATTAGCAATTATACAGTATGTAAAAGGTATTACCCATATTGTATGTATAGGTAATTCACAAATGCCAAATATTTGCTATTTCAAAAGTTAATTTTCATAGCCGAGTGCAACTCGTTATGACTTGACCAAAGTACGAGAAATACTTAAAGGATGTAAAGTTGCCACTGAATTTTATCAAAAAACAAGGGGAAATGAGATCCAAGGTCTGCTGGTGAAGTTCTGGGTACCCATGGCCAGTGGATGGTTATGAAGTGGAAATCACTGATCTGGCCATAAGCAGTATCAATACAGTGCTCCCACCGAATCTTAGATTTGGGGGTATATTTTATACATTATCAAGATTCTGTACCCCTAGGTACTTAGTTACATAGGGCGATCCATGAAAACTGGGGGTACAACCAACTGTTTTGGGGGTGAAAACCCATCATTTGGGGGTTTCTGGGAACACTGCATTATGTGAACTAAATGTGTACATGTTTACATGATTTTATTGTAACAAACCTGTCATTGTGAAGTTTGTATAATTTCTTTTTTTCTCAAATCCAAAAGTGTTTGATAATGGCACAAATCGGAGTGCGGCATCTTCTTGTTGCAGATCCTGTTTGTTCATATGTTTGGATTCATAAGAATTTGATTCTGGACCGACAGATTCAGTTCCATTCATGGAGAATATAAGGAAATCTGCCTTATTTCCACCCATTCTCAGGTAACATGGAGACAGTGCTTCAGCAATGGCTTGTAGCTTCTTAGATCTGAAATAGAAACACACATCAAATGGCAAAATATTAATCATACTGCAAAAATTATCGAAAAATATTTCAGTACAAGCAGCGCCATATTTTGTCAGAAGACAAAACACTATATTTTGACATGTAATGTTATTGCATCTTTGCCTGTTAGAAAAATCAAATATAAATTCATAACAGAAGGAAAATGAAGCAAAAGTTAAATTTATTTACAATAATACAGAGCCCCACCACTCTGCCCAAAGGGAGCAACACTTTCCAGTAATACCACATTTAGTTCCCTTTGCCTACATGATCTCATTGATCTGTAACAAATTTGTTGATAATCCCTCTATTCACACAGGAGAATTAAGCTTTTAAAAAATTTACCTCTGTTTCCCTTATTGAGCCCCGCCCCATAGCCTCAGTTTATACAAAATTGAGTCCTTTTTCCCTAAGGATGCTCCAGACACATTTGGATTAAATCCCTTCATTTGTAACAGAGGTCATTATTTTTTCATAGCGATTCTTTTGCAAGCAATGCTGAGTATTTTGTCAAACATGTATATATATATCTCTCCTGGGTCCCTGATGTGGGTGCCAATGTAACAAAGATTATTATTTTTTCAATGCCTCTGCTAGGAGTCAAACCCCAGACTTCTGGTTTACTAGTCTTACACTATACCCATTACTCAATGAGCTAAAGAGAGATTCTCCCTAGCCGAGTAGGTAGGAAGCGGCTAGTGCTTTATCCGGGTGACATATTTGATTTTCCCCTCCAGGAAAGAAGTTGTCACAAGTTTTCAAGGGTCTTAGCGATTGTTGCTGAATGAGACTGGGTCAATCGCCAGCAAATATAGGTTGGTACAGCTCAATTGGTTAGACGTTTGTCACGAGTTCGGAGGTTTCCTGGTTTCGAACCCAGGTCGTGTCATACATTTTCTCTTTCTCCTGTTACACGATTCCTTTGTAAGTGTATAAGTAATATACATCACTGCAGTCTGAAGCCTCAGTTTTTTGTCATACCTCATGGTTCCTATATATTTGGGTGCCAATGTAACAAAGGCCATTATTTTGTTCAATGCCTCCGCCAGGAGCTGAACCTGGGACCTCTGGTTTAAATGCTACTCTTATGCTCTACCGAATGAGCTAAAGAAATTTTCTCTGTAGCTGAATCAGTAGGAAGGGGCTAGTATTTTACCAGGGTGATCAACAGAGTAAATACTGACAACAAAATTTAACTCATTCACCCATGAAATTTCATAATGAACTCTTCAAACCTTTTGGTTGGAACCCGAAAATTCAGGTGTGCCTCTAGGGGTGATGAGTTAAGACTCTTCTGAAACAATTATTTCAAACCCCTTTATTAATTGTGAGATTTTGCTAAGCTTTGTCAGCTTAACAAGTTTTTTCACTTTCATTTCTTTGAATATCCATTTCAGATTCTTTGATTCAAGCAATCGACCTGTTCTTCTTCTGTTTAGCGCATCGTTTATAACATTGATCAAAATCGCCTGAAAAGTGAAATGCTGTCAATGATAAATGAATGATGAACAGTTTACCGAAAATCAAGGTTTCCCCAATTTGCCTGCGAAACATTCGAGTCTATGGTCATGCTAATAAAATGTGAACTTGTTGTTTTCAGAACTGATTCGGTATGAAAACGGAGTTCTGTAACATCATCAAACAGCATTCCTTTTCCAAAAGAAATAGAAATAATTAGAAAAACAAATTCCAGTTGCCGCATCTTTCTGCCGATCCCGGAAGTAAACAATTGCAATAGCATGTGAGTTATCTCAACTGATTTGATTGGTTAATGCAAGGTCGATACAAATTACGAATACTGAATAAATGGAACGCACGAAATATGGTTATCAACTTTATCTCATTTTTGCATTATAACCATCAATATAACCAGTATTTACCTGAATTTGAAGTGTTTCTTTATTTGCTTTGTGGTGTTAAGAATGCTCTGGGACAGAGCCACACTTAGAAAGTTTTTGTTGACAGTGTAAATAACACTTGAAGATACTCGGATATCAACTGCATCTTGCAGTTTGTCATTTAGAGAAGAGTAAAAAGTAGCTTCCACTGGAAATATACAACCATAAAACATGAAAACACCACAACAACCAACGACAAACAACATCTTCCCTATTGGACCGTTTTCCCCTGTTTAACAATATGCAAGTTGCAATTTGCAACAACAAAAACATAACCGCTTACACCATAAAAAATAGGCTAATTACTTTCTCTATCTTTATTATTTGTACACCGAAAACATTGAAACAATGGAAATAAGTTTTATATGTTTTTGTTTCCTAAACAAGTTCCAGTCCTTGGGATTTATTAAAACAAACATGTAATGAATATTTTTTAAGTGTTTTAAGTGACCTCATATAAAAATGGCAGGAAATTTGAAATCTTTACACATCACATGGTAAACATGGTGCATTTTGGTTCTTTTACCAGGCAATATGGCATTTTAATTCCGTATTTTTGAACAAAATTTTACATTCGTAGATGTGTTAGTTAAAAAGTATGCAGTAGAATAATTGCTTATATAATTATGCCTAAGAGATAATAAGGGCTGTGTTGGTAATATTCCACAGGGAGGCCACTATTGGCAATTCATCTTTATGCCTTTCTCCGTCGATATCGACGATTACGGAAGTCGGTCTTGTGCTATAGTGCGTTGATTGTTATGTACAGTGATTTTATTTTTCTACTATCTTTTTATTTTTTTATTATTTGCTATAGGATAAAAACAGGTTAAAAATTCAACAGGAGTTGATCCTACCAGCGGCCTCTTATTTTATAGGAGTAGAGTTGGCCCGAGTTTCCTCTGGCCCTGACACCAAACTTAGACATTATGACAGAAACTAGAGTAGATACCAGACTTAGATATCTTGACAGATATACCAGACATCTTTGTCAAAATGGCTGAGTTAAGGGCCAGAGCCTCGTAGGAAACTCATGCTACAGGCCAGGGCCCCTTTCCCGTATCCGGTTCAACCAGTTGAACCTGTAACGAAAACGACAGGCACATATCTGAACTGAAGCTGACCTCGACAGGCAAGTGTAGATTGAGGGGTCCAGATGTACCTGACTGGAACTAAAATGCTGACTTTAATTCCTAGTTTGCCTTAATTTTTACGTTATTTCTTTCCAAAACAATGTCAAGCCACATGTAGTTTTTAAGATACGCTATGCGATTCGGTGGTTTCATGAAAGAAGGGCATAATAATCTTGATACATCGTTATTTGTTTTCCGAAACTGCATTTTAGCTCTGCTTATAGAACAGTCCAAGTGCATTCCTTTATAGTGGAATATTTCTGTGCCAGCCCACCAGTACTGTTTAAATGGGGATACACGAATGTAACCCAGGCGTCCGATATTTTGTCAAAAAATCAATAATAAGAGTACAAAGGTCAAATGCCTTTCACATTACATCATTTTCCCATTACATGCTCAGATGATAGGTGATATCTCAATACCAGATCTAGAGGCATGGATCATATTATAAATATTACCACAAGAAACACTAGATATTTCTCTAATAGGATATCAAATTTTAATAAAATCGGATGTCAAACAAAGTCATGAAAAAATGTGAATTGATATATAGAATTAGAAGGGAAACTGATGTAATGTGTCTTGAAGGAGTTTTGACCTGTGGTTGTCGTTTCTCCCTTACGGTGACACTTGTTGCATCTTAAACATTATTTTTAGGCCGTTTAAGTTTTTATACGCCCTGTCAAATTTGACGGGAGTATTATGGTACGGCGTTGTGCGGCGTAAACTTTTGTTTGTCCGGCAATCTCCTCCTACATTTTTCGACCGATCTCTTTTGAAACTTGGTATACATTATAATCATGATATGAAGTTGTGTCTCCCTTAAAAGAATATTGAGTCGACAATTTTTCCAAAAATTATTGCCTTTTGTTTATTTCAGTATTTGATTTTTTGTCCGGAGATCTCCTACATTTTTTGACAGATTTCTTTGAAACTTAGTAGGCTAAATAATGATGATATGCTTTGTTTCCTTGAAAAGAATTTTGATTCAACGATTTTTGCAAAAGTTATTGCCCTTTGTTCATTTCAGTATTTGATTTTTTTATCCGGAGATTTTCTCCTACATTTTTATAGCATGTCAGCTAACCTCTCTTTGAATGATGCAGATCTTATTTCAAAGTAAGGAATTATGTAACACTATATGGCATTCGACGGGCGTATAATGTTCCGCCCCGTGGAACTCTTGTTCTAGTCTAGTACGTATTCAGAATGCATCCAGCACAGTAGTCTCAACATTGCCACCTTATACTGACAGTGACATCAGTGGCAGCGGGTTAACCAGTCTTTGAGCTTATACATATATATGTATAAGGGAATAGCAACATCTGTTTCAGTACTTCAGTATGTGCCAGCCTGGGGAGTGAACCCACCAACATGGGTGCATGTGTACATATACTGCATTGTATCCAGACGTGACTGTGGTGGTGCCATTGCCAGGTATTGAGAAAAGAAGTATTATTTATCATAGGCATGATAGCATTGGAAAAGATGAGATCCAAACTACAGCTATTGTGGTGATTTGTCACCAATGTGCCATTATACCCTTTTCATGTGTCAGATTCTATTGCCAGACATTTAGTCAACCAGCCTAGGCCTAGTCCCACTACATATTTTTACAAATCTGAACAAATCCAAGCAGGACACATATCTCCCTTCACTCATCATTACCTATCTATCCATCCCTACATTCGCCGTGTACTTAAGCTTGAATACCTTCGTCCCCACCAATCATATCCTTCTTTAGAGTTGATTAAATAGGATTTTCTAATAATGCATGTTATAAACAATCTTCTATAATGTCCATACTTCCAAGGCATTGTCCGGAGCATATCTCCTACATGATTTTGCCTCGGATCATCAAACTTGGTTTGCTGTTACATCTTGGTAATTATATAAGGCACTGTGACCTAGATTTTGACCTTAGTTAAGAGTGCAATTTATATGAGTTACCCCTTTTTAGAGCCAATTTCCTACATTCTTTCACTTGAGATCATCATAGCTGGTATGCTGGTAAACCTTTGGAAGACGAAGTGTCACAGGAAAAAAATTAGGTCACTGTTACCTATATTTTAATTCTTGACCTTAATTGAAAATACAAAATATGAGATGCTGCTTGTTCGGAGCATATACATTTCACATGCAATCATTAAAGTTGGTATATGCTGGTACATTTTGGGAAGCTTACCGGTAGATAGCAAAATGTAGTATAAGGGGTTATGATCCTAACTACCTGGTCTCTATGAATTGAGTGCATAGTTTTGTGGTGAAGGTAATATGGCAACGTGTTGCAATCTTGTTACAATTGAAGATAAACCATGATGTTTATTTATCTATTATTTATTTCCTCCAGGTACAGGCAATCATTTTAAGATGAACATGGAGAAGAAAAGAAGCTGACGGCGCACTATGAATGAGAATGAAGTCAGTGGCCCATGCAGGAAAGTTGGAAGGTCCCGTAAAAGAAGTCTCACGCCGTATTACCCATACGATCACGATCAACTGACTGACCAGGAAAAGGCTTCACAGTTAGACACAACAAATACACAATGTCAGGAAGAGGTCTCTATTTTATCACAGAAACAAATCAATGGCAGTCAGATTGGCTCTTTATCTGCTAGAAATGGTGATGTAGCTGACAATTTTAACATTACCCACACTTCAAATAATACTAACGAGATTTGGTTTTCTAATTCTTTTGTTAGAAGTAGAAATTGCGACGTTGGAAAGAAAAGCACAAGTCATCAACAGAACAATTGTCAGGGGATTGAATCTGTGCCAAAGAAAATAAGACTAGACGTTGATTTCAGTCAGAGGTCTCAATCTGATGATAACAACTATAATGAAAGAACTGCTAATGGTTCGGTGAGGTACGGTAAACAGTTTTCTGGTGGGGATCACGAGAAGAAAAATGGAAATTTTCACCAGGACAGAAAAGAGTCTCACTTAAATCAACAAACAGTAATGGCTGACACCTCTGTAAGTAATAACAGAGACTGCCCTCACCTCTTCCACTCGACACCAATCAAAAATCTTAAAGAGGTGAGAACAGAAAAGAATGTTATTGATTTAATTGTTCTTTTTCAATGAGATTTTAGCATTTTCACAAATCACCACAGGTTTTAGGTGAAGAAAACATAGTTTGATGTAGGAGTGTCACAATACGCCTAAAGTGTATCACGATATATTGTAATACATAGGGAATTAACGTATTGCAATACATATCCCAATATATTGTTATAAGGAAAAGGGTGCTCAATTAAAAAAGAACTTGTCAGAATGTTGTCAATGTATCATATATAATATCGATCACACAGAGTTAAGATTTTTGTTAAACCAACCATCGATTACGAAATTTCAACTGATTGAATAATCAGTAATAGCCTGTTTTTGGTTTTTGGTATCTGTTAGATTGTGTAGTAAATATAACATGCCAAGTTTTAACACCAAGCAAATGCATAAAAATAATGTTGAAAAAAATTGCGATACAGTGATATTTCATCTCTTTATTGCAATACGATTCGCTTGAGTATTGCGATATACAGGTGTTCTGATATATTGTGACGGTCCTAGTTTGAACCAAAAAGTGATTTTTCTTTGATGCTTAATTGATGTGAAAATTTCTTTCCTGAATACATATTTTTACATTATATATATTTGATAAAATTCATTTTTTTTTTATCATGTTGAACATTTTCTTTATAGTCTGGTGATATTGGATGGACATGTTTAAAGTTACAGCATGATTCATAGTTGTCACCGTACAGAAAGTTGTCTAAGTGGAGGTTCCCTGTGTGATGGGTCACTTTTGATTCAGCTTGATCACATGTTACCTATGCGGCCACAAGTGCAAAGATTGCCGTGGGGCACACCATGAGACAGACACATTTACATAATTATCCTGTACCATTTTACTTTTTTTTTTTTTTTAATTTAGATTCTTATATATTCATTGACGAATTAGTATTTATTTCTTTGATGCTAAATAGCAATAATTTAAATTTTGTTTAATATATTAATTTTACCGTGGTTAATGAATGTTTTTACATGGCACGGTTTTAATTAGATGCACTAACATTTAAGATTTCTGAGGAAACAGTCATGAGGCCTTCCAAATTTCCTCAGACTCTCTTTCTCCAAAATGCCAAAATTCAATTGTAGTCATCTTTTCCAAATATATGTATGTGAAGCGTATAGCAGGATATTTCTGTGGGAATGATATTTTCGCGATTACGCTGGTCAAGAATTACATAATCGCAAAATTATGATCTGCGGTTATTCAGACAAGCAGAAAAATGAGCCCCGATAATAAACTTTTTAAACTTTATGTCTTCGTGAAATGCGTACATGTGGTTATGACGATTGATATATATACATAATGAGTAATGATGTGTGAAAATAGGTCATTTTACACATGTATCTAATAGTTTTGTTGATTTTTTCAACAAAATATAATTACTTGTTGATGCTGATCAATATACTGTTATAAAGCCTATTCATTTGACTATTTGACCCTTTATATGCAGAGTGTCCCATCTCTGTGCTAAAAATCTGCGAAAAAATAGTCCCTTTAAATGTCTAGATAGCGAAATTATAATCTGTGTAAATTAAGTATTCCAATTTTGGGTAAAAATCGCGAAAATTTAAGCCTGCATAAATAACCCGCTATAAGATATGTGGGAAATATTAGGAAAGCAAGTTTCAGTTGATCCTTTCACTTGAATTAGATTGGTTTCTGGAATTTTAGAAACATCACCAATAGTTGTGGTAGAAAACACTAGTAGTAAGTATGACATGTATTCTTCAACTACAGTTTTTCTTGTGTTACTGTATAATTACATTGGTTAATTGTTCGGAAACGTTTTTTCTTATCACAAGAAGACAGGTTTGGGGAAAACTGAGATGGTTTCCAGACTAACTGAAACAGAAGACATGCTGAACAACAGTGACCATGTTCTAGCTGGACTTGATATGGCTGATGATGAGGAGAAAACAGACATCAAAACTGTGACTAAGGGAGATAACTCACATAAGTCTGAGCCGAGTCAGTCTCACTTGAATATCAGAAAATGTAATCGTTTACACGGAAATTCAAATGTGACTTGTGATAAATTGACCAAAGGAAGGATCAGTGAAGATTGTTCTCAAATGTTATCTATGATACATATAGATAAACCTGATGTCTCTAAGAACATGCATGATAAGTGTACTGAGTCACCCCAATCCTCGGATAGAAGGGGAGGTTACTCTACAGAGAGTCGTACAACTACAGTACATTCAAAGGAAACAATCAGAAACACAAAATGTACAAAACATCATGTTATGAATATTTCTGACGATGACATCTTCGCACATGATAGTGATTTTCTTAGTGAGATTGAAAGCTTAGAAAGAAAAGCAGACACTGCAACAGATAAGCGAGCAATTACAGAAAAGATTAATCCCGATAATACAACCAGTCATGATCAGCTTGTGTTGGAACAAAACAGGAAAAACAGAACTTATTCAAAAAGTTGTGATACAACCAAGTTAGGGCATAACTATTCAGAGGCTAATAACTGTGATAAAAGAGCAAGTGAAAACTGCAGAGAAAAAACTGCAGGATCAGTTACAAATTTAAAAGGTCAAGGTCACACTGATATGACTTCACCTTTGGGAACCAAAGTTCGAGGTCAAGATGTAAATACACCTGAAGTTTCCTCGACAATGAAAACTCCAACCTCCATTGGTTTGGGGGGCTCACTAAAGGATAGAATAAAACGAAGGCTTCAGGAGAACGCTTCCACTAAACTGGTAGAAAGTCCTGGGGCGGTGATGGAACAAAGACGCGAGGGCGAGATTACAGTCGCTACAACCAAGGCAGAACAGATTAAGAAGGATGGCTCTGACATTGATGTTGGTCCGTTCTTTGGCCTGTCTTCCAAGGTCAAGGCCCTTCTGCAGCAGCACAGGGGCATCGATACTCTCTATGGTAATGTATACATATATAACTTGTGATGTAAAAATACATCCTGGTTCATCAGCATTCAGTAGGTTTTGGTTAAGTCTATACTTTTTGATACACAGGGGCATCAGCACTCTATGATTAAGTCTATAATATACTATTTGATACACAGGGGTATCACCTGCCTGTGGTAATGTCTATACTTTGTGATACACAGGGGCATCATGCACTCTGTGGTAATGTCTTTACTTTGTGATACACAGGGGCATCATGCACTCTGTGGTAATGTCTGTACTTTGTGATGTACAGGGGCATCACCTGTCTGTGGTAATGTCTATACTTTGTGATGTACAGGGGCATCACCTGTCTGTCGTAATGTCTATACTATTTGATACACAGGGGCATCACCTGTCTGTGGTAATGTCTATACTTTGTGATGTACAGGGGCATCACCTGCCTGTGGTAATGTCTTTACTTTGTGATACACAGGGGCATCACATGTCTGTGGTAATGTCTATACTATTTGATACACAGGGGCATCACCTGTCTGTGGTAATGTCTATAAAGTTTGATGTGAAATTTAACACAGGGGCATAATTAGCATTCCAATGTAAATTTTATTTCATTCCCCTATTTAAAAAAAATGTCAAACACATGTGTGTAAGTTTGGTTTCACCTGGGTCCGAGGATGACTTTTTTGTGGCATTTTTTTCTGTTAAATCACTTAATTTTCTTCAATACCTACAAATTGATATACTGTGTCATTATGAAATGATTTTCTCGTTATTACAGCGTGGCAGAATGAGTGCCTCAATCTGCCTGCTGTACTGGAGGGGAAGAACCTGATCTACTCCCTACCAACAAGTGGGGGCAAGACCCTGGTGGCCGAGATACTCATCATGAGAGAACTGCTGTGTAAGAAAAGGGATGCCATCCTCATTCTGCCCTTCGTTTCCATTGTACAGGAAAAGGTGGGTCATCTCAATTTTTCTCTTACATAATGTATGAATTTACAAATACTGGTAAAAACTAAAGAATGATGTCCACTTCAGGCTTCACTGAGCCTTTATCAAAACTTTCAATACTTCTTTTGAACGAACTACATTTATATTTCAACACAGTAGATAAGGGATATTCTGTATGTTGAACGACTGACTTGGCATATAATGATAATAATGGTCTTTATTTATTTCACTTGATACCATATATTGAGTCAAAAACTCGTCTTACATATGGTCAAGCATAATATAGGATGCACTTTTACAGCAACAACATGGCTACCTTGGCCTCTGAATGGATGATACATTCTTGTCTTTCATTGGGTTTTCTTGGGCCAATTTGAATATAATTTTTTGTGGCGCCTGCAACGTGAGGCAACATATAGGTATTACTTCGTAGGCGTCGGTTGCGTCGTCCGAAACAAGGCTTCCGTGCAATAACTTGAGTTCCCTTGAGTTGATTAAACTTGAACTTGGCACACATATTGCATACCAATATAGCTTGAAGGAGTTCGCATTTAAGTAATTTACATGCATTTTTGGTGGAGTTATGCCCCTTTTATTGCCAAATAAGGGCATTGTGTAGTAAATGCAAGAACATTTTTATTCCTTTCAAATTTTGTACGGTTAATGCTAGAAGCAATGATATTCAACATATATTACAGGTTTTTCTGTCAAGTTTCAACTCTCCGCGTTTTGGCATATCACACTTGACATAGCAACGCTGTTCATCGTTTTTACCGGTAATTTTTGCTTGTTTACGCGATATGCTTTTGTCATAGTAAATAAAAATAATTTTTGCTTTATATTTTTCCTTTAGGTGAGAGGATTATCTCCCTTTGGTATCGACCTAGATTTCCTTGTCGAGGAGTATGCAGGCAGTAAGGGAAAGTTTCCACCACTCAAAAGCCGTAAGAGACAGTCACTGTACATTGCCACCATAGAGAAGGCACACTCACTAGTCAACAGTCTCATAGAAAACAACAGGCTGGACAGTCTGGGGCTTGTTGTGGTGGATGAGGTAGGTCAAAGGTCAACAGTACTAGAATGCCCATCTTTGCTAGCCAAGTGTTTGCTGGAGTGTATTCGAAGCAAACACTTGGCTAGCAAAGATGTAGATTGCCTCCCTTGAGTAAGTTTAAGAAATTTTAGAAGAAATAATGCATGCTTAACATATCTTTGGCCTAAAGTATGAGCTATTTCAGATAACAGAGGTGTTTAGGAGGATAGTATAAATAATTGTTGCCAATTTATGGAAAATATCCTTGAAAGGTGGGTGGATCAGGTGCGAGTCACAAGAAAGTGCCTTCCTGCCTCTGGATCAGCATGACTGAATCTTTGTAAATTATGTTCTGTTCTGCTACAGTTACATATGATTGGTGAAGGAGGCAGTCGAGGGGCAACCTTGGAGTCAACTCTACTGAAGGTCATTTATACTCAAAGTAAGTATATATATCCTTTCTGTCTGTCTGTCTGAATGTTTGTCGTCCGTGAAATCTTGTCTGGGAAACTCCTCCTAAACTAGAGAATAGATTTCAACGAAACTTAACAGTATCATAACTACCCCCTGACGTTTGTCCATCCAGGTTTTTTCAAGGTGATAACTCCAGTTGAGCATGAGTAAATTATCATAGATGGTTACCCATGGTTACCCATCTATTCAATTTACATGTGCTCAACTGGAGTTAAACTCAAAGTAAGAACACATATCCATTACATGGTACCTGTACTATGATAGTGCATTGTTCTTCAAAGTATATTCACTGCTCAATAGCACTAGTTTTCCTCAGAAAGTTTCAGCTATATCATTATCATCCTGGATACTCCAGGGGTTACACTCACTTTCGCCCTCTGCACCCCTGTGATATGTCATAGAGAAAATTTGAAGGCATACGGCTAGCTATTTGATTGGTCTCTGGTATTAAAGCTTGACCGATTGCTAGGCTGTTATATGTCCTTTGAAGAGTACAGAGGAGCGACACCCGACTTCAAAGCCAGTCAATCTTACCAGTACGTGACTGCGAGATTCTTTTGATGTACATCAAAGGATCAAACTAGACTTCTTGTCTCATCCACAAGGTGGCACACACTGAGCCTTTGGTTTTGCTATGACATAGTCCAGGAGTGCAGAGAGCGAAAGTGAGCAGATGTATTATTATGAAATCAATTTCTATGCAATCTGTATCATACTTTGGCCTTGTGTTTCTAAGATTTGTTGTTGTTTACAGAGACCACACAGATAGTTGGGATGAGTGCCACCCTTAGTAACACAGCTGATCTTCAGACATTTCTGGGAGCCGAGGTCTACTCCAACAGCTTCCGTCCTGTGAGTACAAACCAACGCGTCTCGAGTTAATCAAACCTTGTTATTCTGGGCTGATATCTAGAAACGACCGCAATCCGGATATTCATAGTGAGAAATCGTTTCATTTTCATTTGCATTAATCTTGAAAATATTCCTAATTTAAAAAAAAAAATGTGATATCAAAAAAATGTGATATCAATTGGTTTTTGTGATATCAATTAGTTTTTGTGATATCAATTAGTTTGAGATAGTCAGAATTAGTCTGGAGTGATTAATGTTTGATAACAGAGAAAGCATTGGCAATGGATATTAAGACTCGGCTGAAAATGAGCAACACTTCTATTATGCCTTGCAGGTGGAACTCACAGAGTATGCCAAGCTGCAGGACAATATTTACCAGGTGAACCCAAAAGCCAAATGCCCAGAGGACCAGCTTGTACATGATAGAGTTGTGATGTTCAAGGTATCCTAATTTACAAGTTGCATACCCCTGCTTGGTCAAATCATTTAGCATTCACCCTGTGTGTGGACCCAAAAGGTTTCAGAAGCTTATATTATATAATGACTACTTATATCAGACTACTTATGTCTAAGAAGGAGAAGTGCCACATATACTTAAACTAGGTTCACTGTGACCGATTTCTTTGACCTCTGACCTCTGTCATGGAAAAATTGTTTCTGAAGCCTTCCTCTACAGTATATGGGTTCATGCATTATAAGTAAATTGAAATGAAGTATTTGGGTGCAATGTAGATATCTAGTTCTGATGCAATTCATGACAACCATTTAAAATATTTTTACATACATATATATGAAGCTAATAATCTGGTATTGCTATTTGATATGCTGGAGCTTAAGGTTTGACTTTCTTTACCGTTCCAAATGGTGGCATGGAAATAAGTTGAACAATTTCCAAACTTTTTGAAAATCATGCAAACAACTGTATGTAATGTTGTCATCTATCTTTTCATCAGTAAGATCGCAAAGACCTACAAAAAGTGCTTAAATAATCAACTGCATCAAATGAATTGTGGTTTGTGATATTTGAAAAGCAAAATCATAAAGTATATACATGTATCCAGATTTATGAAAGTCTACATTTGGTGTTGTGATGGTGTGTCCAGTACAGCCCCGACATGACGCGAGTGGATGGCGACCACCTCCTGGGCCTCGTCCTGGAGGTGATACCCGACAAGTCCTGCCTCCTGTTCTGTCCTACCAAGAAGAACTGTGAGAATGTGGCCATGATGCTGTGTAAACTCCTGGTCAAACACCACCAGTAAGTTTCTGCCACCAGGGGATCTGAAGGGGGGTGTCTGTTACGACCACTCCCCCCTTATTCTCCATGCATGCACAATTTACAGACTTTCCTATGCCTTTACTATTGCAACTTATTGTTCTCATTAAAAGTCGGTGGCCGGCAAAAGTAGCCTGCTACCCATCAACTTTGAACTGGCTATTTTTTCAGAATACATATAGGTCATCATTATAGCATATGAACATTAAACTGACTATTCTTTTCCAAGTCAATAACCTGTTTCAAAACTTAGTGAAAACACTGCAACTACTGTAAAGGAGTAATCTTATTTTAGTGCTTTTTGTCTCGCCGCCACAAAGTGGAACCGAGACTTAGGTGTTGCTTTTCCGGCAACGGCGGCGTCAACATGAAGTTTTTGCGTTTAAGTTAGTTTCTCTGAAAGTATAACTGCTAGACCAACCAAACTTGGACCATAGATGCATCTGAGGAAGTACATCTCAACCCATGCATCAAATGCTGGATGCGGGCTACCTTTCATGGTCTATTGCCTTTGTCAGCATCTCCATCAACATTAAGTTTTTGCGTTTAAGGTAGTTAGTGTTACACCAACCAAACTTGACCTGTGCATTGATGGTCAAAGTGAGCAAAGGTGAGACATATCAATCCGAATGGCTTGTTTACCTGTAAAATGAGCCTACGTTCAGATCTAAAGAGACTTTTATTCAAATAGACATACATGTAGGAGACATTACTGTTGAGATTTGATTTTCAAGAAAAGGTGCTGAAACATCTTTGGGTAATTTAATGGAAGGATTTCATGAGATTCTTTTATGTATCCTAATGGCTATCAGTACAGTTTACATTTGAAACATAGAGACACTAGAAAATATATTTTCAGAGAAGGTGAATATACTTCATTTGGAATATATTAAAGACATCGACATATTTCTGTCTAAATGTCCAATGAAGACCGCCTTTCTGTGTTAACAGTTACCACTGATATTTAATTGGAAGTATTTTAGCTTAATCAAGATTGTGTCATGTAAGCTGAAAGAACAAAATTAGTTCAGACTAGAACTTAATATTAAATCTCCAAAGTTTAAGTTTTTGTGATTAATCTATGGTTAGTTTTTAGGTCACCTGAGACAAAGTCTCAAGTGACCTATTGCGATCGCCTTTTGTCCGTCGTCGTCCGTCGTCCGTCGTGCGTCCGTAAACAATTTACATTTTCGACTTCTTCTCCAAAACCCCTGAACCAATTTCAATGAAATTTTGCAGGGACCTTCCATGGACAAAGGTCAACAAAAATAGTTAACGGTTAAGTCCTAAGCCCCCAGGGGCCTGAGGGGCGGGGCCAAAAGGGGTCAAATTGACTAAAATTTCAAAAATCTTCTTCTCCAAAACCCCTGAACCAATT